GACCGCAAAGACCGCAAAGACCGCAAAGACCGCAAAGACAAAAGAAAGTTGCTCTGACGTGGCCACGAGTTGGCTCTCCGTCGGAAATGATCATCTCCGACGTTCAGAGACAATATGCAAGGATGAAATGGCAAAGGGCAAATTGTTTAAGAATTCTTCTTATTTGCAACGCAGGCGGGTTAGGATTAGCGTTAGAGGGCTGGGTAGTTGGGCGCAGGCCTACCGCTGCGTATGAGCCGTCATGCGTGCGTCATACACCGGTTCGAATCAATTTCCACATTGTGCGTGCGCGGCCGCGATGCGTGCTTCGCTTGTATATAATTAATTAACTTTGCATGCTTCTTCGATACTACTCTGATGAGGCTTCAGTAACGTCATCGTGATGCAAGAGGACGTGCACACGTGTGAATGCTGACGCTCCTCTATGCGGCGGGTGGGCCAACAGCGCACCATTTCCGAAGAGGCGTCGCGTGCATGTGTGCGTGTGTGTTTGTATGTGCGCGGTTTTCTTCGTGCGGTTTCGTGCGTTCCGATCGTTCACGTCCCGAACTACCGATGTTGCTCGCTCGTAAGTACGGCGCAGGTGCGAATTTCGTTAGAACGTCTACGCGTTAGATGCACTGGTGTCCACGGAAGATGTTTAGACTGACAGGGGTCGGATCGGAGACCGTCGGTTGGCGGCAGCGCCAGGAACTTGTGGAACCAGTCTATGAACACTTCCAGTGTATTACGCAGCAAACTGTGTTCTTTACATTATGACATTCAGTGTTACATCATTCGGAAGTTAGATAATGAGGGATAAGATGAGATAAACGTTTAATATTTTACTTCCGATCTAGCATGCTGGTGAATGGTATAGCGCTCAGTCTCATCTGTCGTAAAAACTCGCTCAACGCTCCATTGCTCGCGCTCATTGCGAGCAATTTTTGGTATCGAAAATAGCGATAGATAGGTTGGACGTAGCTCCAAGAAACGGTCTTTGCTAGGGTTAGAACTTAGAAGACCGTTTCAAATTCTTGCCCATAAAAAACTTGTAGTTGGCTCGATATCCAAACATCGCCACAGCTAGCGTCACATGTAATAGCTCAAACGAATCTATAAACCTCTGGCTTGCTCGCGGTAACTGGGCGCTACTAGGCGCTACTTATTTATCGAGTTATGCCGTATTTTCTGTGATGAATTGGATAAAAACAACCAGACAGCCGCCATGTCCGCCATGTTCGGTGCGACTAAAATCGGCAATGGACCCGATTTTCACAGTGCACAAGGCAAGTACATATCTTCGAAATGATTATTATTAAGTTGTTGTAGATTGTTGTTTCCTGGTTTTCAATGTTTTAATATTTATATATATACGAGTATATGATGCTTATTTATGCTCGCGCCAACGCGAGTTGCAACGCTATGGTATGTTATGTCGTTTCGGGTTTTCCGCATTCCGATCGAAACGCATGCGCAGTGGAAACATGGCGGTTGGCGATTAAAGTGAAATTTAGGTTCGGCTCTTGAATTTACACTGTGCACAGCGAACTGAGGTATTAGTTTTGATAACAACGCTGGAATACTATAAGGTGAAGGTTATACTTGATACAAAACAAGGCAGAAATGCTTAGATGATTATTGTATTCCCCGCGACGAAGTCGTCGGGGATACTATGGTTTCATGTCTGTCCAGCCGCCGCCGCCGCCGCAGACACTTTCGCTTCCGCTCTATAACTCGACCCCTAATTGACCTAGCGGGACCAAACATGGTCTACTTACACATCTTGGGGAGAAGGTGCGCAGCGTACCAAAACCAGGTCACTACGACCTTTATTTGACCTTTACCTTGACCTTGATCATATTTCCTTTCCGCTTTATAACTCGGCCCCTAATTGACCTAGCGCTACCAAACTTGGTATACTTACACATCTTGGGGAGAAGGTGTGTCACGTACCAAAACCCCTAAGGTAACCAATTTTAACATACTTGCACATCTCAGGCAGATGAGTTGTGTAACAAACCTTTGTCTTTGTGACTTATTTAACTTTACCTACCCTCTACGTCCTTACAGAGATATTTCATTCATACATGTAGTTGGCGACAACTGCCCTTTCTAGTTTTATTTGAGATATACGTAATTGTCGGCAGTTTTTGTAGAGGTACAAGATTATCCAATGTGACGTATCGCATCTAAGAGGATTCGTGTAGAGGGTCATTAGTCCAAGCAAGACTTTTAAAATAGTAAAAAGAAACCTGCCCCATCAGAAAATTTCTCTCGGTGGAAGAATTGTCAATGTGTGCTTCATGATTTTTAACTTTAGGCGAGCTATTGTCAGCAGTAATGCCTAGTGTCTGTAGTAAATGGCTATACGTTTTAGAAATAAAGATATAAATAATTTGTATGGCAATTGGTCTTTGTAACTTATCTCAATCATTATATTACAGAACTCCGGAGCACACTTAAAAGAATAACCACCCACTTAATTCACATATGCACGACTAATATCACCGTAAATCTCAATAAACATATTACAGAACTCCTGACTGAGCACACTTAAAAGAATAAACATCCACTTCACATATGCACCACTATTATCACCGTGAATCTCAATAACAAAATGGTATATAAAAATAACCATTAACAGCATACATGTAACTGAGTAACCTAACTATATTATAAAAAACACGTGCTGGATTAATTGTGAACATGATTCAAATTACGTGGCCCTGCGTAACGACAATCCAGGGACTGCAGTACTTTGTCAAAATACTAGCCCAATGTGATGGGAGTGGGATCATGATCAATCTTGAAAATATGCATCCTGATCAAATTTTTCGAATTTTTATACTGTTTTGGACTTTATTTCGTCGAAGTACACGTTCGACACTGGCGGCATCTACCGCTCTACCGATTTAGCTGCTGCTAAAATTTGGCTCGGGCCTGGTTAGACGTTTTCGATGGGACCAAATTGGCTCGTGCTAACTCGGCACGGCCCCGAAAACCCGTCCGTGTGAACGCTCGGCTCGAGCCAAATTTGGCGCGGGCCTAATTAGGCTCGGGCTAAAAACGTCCGTGTGAACGCGCCTTATATCTTTAATCCTCCTGTTGATCTCTCATTGTTAAATTACACTGTAATACTTTTGTCATTCGTTTTCTCGTGAAAGGCGTTCGAGTGCCACGGCATTCGGTTCGTATTCGGTCGCATGTATTATGTTAAAAAAAAAGATCCTCACCGTACCCTGGATAAGAGGTCCGGTCGATGCACCGTACGAGAGGGTGGTGAGATGGAGGCGTTGGTAACCGATAAGATTGTGTATGTTTGTGTGCGTTTCTGTATATGCTTGTGTGCATGCGTGCGTGCGTGCGTGCGTGCGTGCGTGCGTGCGTGCGCGCGCGCGTGTGTGATTAACCGACCTCTGAGTCATATTGCCGCCGTGTAGCGCGGAGGACTTCGAAGATCTGGCAACGCTCTCCGCATGGCAACCGCGGGGAAATGCAAGTAGGACGCACGGGGCCTGCGGAGCGTAACAGCGGCACATGGCGCCAGCGAGTAGATTATTATATTGGGCGAATGCTCGGGCGGCGACAAAAGGCGGCATTGTGTTGGCAGTTTTTTGATAAATTGGTCTCCCTGCGCGCCGCGCGCTGGTTATTCGTCCGCCATAATGCGAGCGCCGTGAATGCGGGTCTGTCAGCCGTGAAATGTGCGGTGAACTCTTTCTCTCTCTCTCTCTCTCGCTCTCTTTCTCTCCTTCTCTCTCTCCCTCTCTTGCTTTCTCGCTGTCATTTCCACCCTCTCACTCTCTTCCTCCCTCCGTCCCTCTCTTCTTCTCCTCCCTCCGCCCCTACATCCCTTTCCCTCTCTCGCGCGCGTTCCCTTTCTTCCTCCCGCTTCCTCCCTCCCCCCTCGCTCTCTCTCTCTCTCTCCTCGATCAAGGCGTCTCGATCGATCTCAGCACCACGGCGGCCCGACGGCAGGGACGTGCCGACGCGCGGCTGCCTCTCTCTTCTCTCTCTCTCTCGCTCCTATCATCTTCTCGTCTCCTCATCTCTCTCTCTCTCTCGCTTTCGCTCTCTCTCTCTCTCTGTCTCTCTCGCTCTCTCTTTCTCTCTTTTTCTCTCTCACAAAGCGTGTCCTCGCTGTACGTGAGTGTGTTGGGGCGGTGTGTGTCCTCTATAGGTAGCAGTGAACTCCCTAGTTCCGCCCGGGCGCAGTCGCTCGCAGGTAGCAGTATACGTAGGGCAGCTGTAGCAAATACAGCTGCAGGCTGCTACTGGTATATAGGTTCTCGTGAATTTGTGGAGACCGTCGTCGTTTATTTGATTTGCTTCCACCTTCCCCCAACCTCTTACCCCACCCCGGCGTGCTCTCTTATGATGCTGTGAGAAATGCTATAGCCGAAGTTACACGCCTGTGCTGCACGGTGTATGTCATGCAATACCTGCTCGTTCTGAGTGCAGACATGTGGATGAAACATCTTCATTTCATTTCAGGTACGTTCCCGTCATCTCTGCCTAAATCCTCCTTAGATCTGCCTAGATCTGCCTAGATCCTCTTTAGATCTGTCTAAATCCTCCTTCGATCTGCCTAGATCCTCCTTCGATCTGCCTAGATCCTCCTTCGATCCGCCTAGATTCTCCTTAGATCTGCCTAGATCCTCCTTCGATCTGCCTAGCTCCTTTGGTGCCTGGTGGTGGGGGGAGAGTGCTCACAGGTACCGCTACGTTCGCGTCAGTTATACCTATTTGGGCAGCAAGCATTTCGGTTCGCCATAGGCCTTGCAGCGTTGTCCGCCGGGGACGAAGCATTTGTGCTAATCGTGAATCTTGTGGGAACAGGGCGCTTTGTGGCGTAGCGAAGGTAGTTGAATCTAGCGAAGGACTGACTACTTACTACGTGAGGCGGCAGCGTCCGCGTCTGTGTACGCGGTGTGCATCGCGCTGCGTTCAAACGCCAACGCACGCCTCACTCACGGCTGTACGCCGTAAGCTACATGTTCCGTGTCTCTCTTCCGTAGGCGTGAACAAGGTGGATATCAATCAGTTCGAGATCCAGGTGCTCGCCGGAATTCTGAAGCGATTTCTACGGGAGCTGCCCAACCCACTAATCCCGTGTGAGCTATACGAGAGCTTCATCGAGGCAGCGAGTAAGTAGCATGCATTGCACATAAGTTAATAGTAACATATACCTACATAGTATAAGTACGTATTTGGTCCGACGGGGGGTGTGCGTGTTGGTATATGTCATCTATCTCCTTATCTGTCTATCTCGCAGCTAACATCTCGCGGCTGAGAACGAGTGCATGTATTGCTAGCGGCAAGATAACTTAACGTAACCTGGCCGGAATAGGCTGTCTATCTATCTATATCTGTGTCTGTCTCTCGCCCGCTCGCGCGCGCGCTCTCTCTCTCTCTCTTTCTCTCTCTCTCTCTCTCTCTCTCTCTCTCTCTCTCGCTCTCTCTCTTTCTTTCTCTCTACTCTCTCTCTCTCCTATCTTTCTCTCTTCTCTCTCTCCTCTCTTTCTCTCCTCTCTCTCCTCTCTTTCTCTCTTCTCTCTCTCTTCTCTCTTCTCTCTCTCCTCTCAGACTCTCTTTCTTGCGCTCTCTCTCTTTCAGTCTCAATCTCTCTCCTTCTCTCTCTCTTTCAGTCTCCATCTCTCTCTCTCTCTTTTTCTCTTCTCTCTCTCTCTCTCTCTTTCCCTCTCTCTCTCTCTCTCCCTCTCTCTCTCTCTCTCTCCTTCTTTCTCTCTCTCTCTCTCTCTTTCTCTCTTTCTCTGTCGATGTCTCCCGCGCTCTCTCACTTTCCCTCTTTGTGTGTCTACCGCGCTCTCTCGGTTTCCCTCTCTCTCTCTCTCTAAATTTTTTTTCATCATTTATTTATATATATATAGACATAGATAACCGATAGATATAGACCTATATTATATATGTAGTGTGAGTCTATTCATGGTTTCATATCGGTGTGGAGTTAGCAGCTAGCAGCTTGGTCGCAGGGACTTTTAGCGTCAGTCTAGGGTCCAACGTTTCAAGGGTAAGCATTTGTCTCACAGCCTCTACCAGATCCGTCATAGGTACCCGCTGTTCGTAGACTCACGCCATGCGTCGTTGTGAGTCGACTACCTCGTGGGTTCAACCACGGAGATGACTCGGTTGGAGTCAGTCTGGGGCGTTACCTGGAACCGTGCGAATCGACTCCTCGGTGTGTGCAAGCTGCCACGTTCCCATCGTTTGATATAGCTAGTATAGAGAGTGCGCGCTCGAGAGAGAGAGAGAGAGAGAGAGAGAGAGAGAGAGAGAGAGAGAGAGAGAGAGAGAGAGAGAGAGAGAGAGAGAGAGAGAGAGAGAGAGAGAGAGAGAGAGAGAGAGAGAGAGA